TAATTTGTTTACTATTGTCATAGAACAATATAGATATAGAAGCGAAAATCGATCAGCTGATTTACGTTTACCTACAAAACACGAATTAAGATAGTACTATCTTAATCACGGACTAAGATATACAGGACTGGACACTACAAGGTCGGAGGGTGTGAGGGGTTGACCACGAAATGTAGTACAACAGGCGGAGTTCGGGGGGATATTTTCCTTTTAGCATTACTAGCGCTGTCTTAGTGGATACTTATGGAACTAGAACACATCATACAAATTTCTAGTTCCATAAGTATCCACTAAGACGGCGGTAGTAATGCTAAAAGGAAAATATCCCCCCGAACTCCGCCTGTTGTACTACATTTTGTAACCACAATATTCATCTCGTGTCCAGTCCTGTATATCTTAGTCCGTGATCTTAATTCATGATTCGTGCTACCTTAGATCACATATGATCTAAGCGTGCTACTAAATAAATTATGATCTGAAGTCTGAACCTAGGAAACGACTAAACGAGCCCGTCGAGCCCGACATCCCATAACCAACATGATGTTAGATCCTTGTTTACCCGTATTCAGAAAACGTTGGCGCGGTACGCTACGCGGGGTCGGCTCTTTTACCATCGTGAAGCGGCTGTCCAACGCGTACATAGATCTATTTTTAAATCATTAATTGGTAACTTTTACATTATTGTTGTTTTGTCCAGTTTCCAGTTATCAGTTATCGTTTCGAATATCCATTTGAGCTTAAAATATACCAATCATAATTTATGAGGTTCTATTGTATATTATATAGACAAATAGATGAAGTAATGTATGAGTATCAAATAATGGTGAGGTGAGTGGGGGGTTTGGGGGGCGTAGCCCCCCAAGTTATTTTTTACAATGATTGAGGCGTGTACCCATGATTTTTTTTAGGACTACATCACTGTGTACGACGTACTGCTGTGACTTAATTTACTCTAATACAATATAATGTATGTAATGCGTCATCTACGATTTTGAAATTATTAATCATAAATCACAATCTTGAGTACCTATGTGATTATTAATTATTATTTAAAATTATGCATGTAAGTGACAATTTTGATTTGAATTTCTTAAATCAATTATTTTTGCTTAAATATTATTATAATAATATAGATAGATATCGACGGTAAATTTAAAGTACACGTGATTATGAAACTTTGGAACGTGATATTACTTTGTAAAAGGCTGCGTTTTTATTTTATAATATTAAATTATTTTTTAAACATAAGCTCACAAACTTAAGACGAACAATTTACAAGAAAATACTATATATTATAAATTAATTAATTGAATAGTTGTAAATAGTACTTGTATACATTTTAATCGGGACGTATTTGACAATCACTAATGATATTCACATTAATTAAATGGAATGGGTACTTATAAAATTGTTTGTTTTAGTAAACTTCTTGAATATACTTGTAAATTGAAAAAAAAACTCTTCTATGTTTTAAATTATACCGAATTATGTAAGTCGTCGTTAATTATAGTGTATTGGTTTACGCCCATGTTTAATGATGCTTATGATGCACTCGAGTACTTGACGTTGACGTGTTTACATTTTACACAATTAACGTGTTTGTTAAAATAACATGGATTTTTTTTATTTATGCAGTTGTGTGCAGTTAGGTACCTCATAAATAACACAATCGTCGTTATTAATTAATTTTAATAAACTAACATCGTGTTACATAAAACCGGTAAAAAAATCCATTAGCTTTTTTCATAAAAATAGACTAAATTGTGTTTTCACCACATAAAAAAAAATGTATTTGTATTTTATACAAGCATTTCCACTTCGAAAGCTATTATTCGTCATTTTAGGTATATGATCATGAATACGTGATATTGCGTGAATTTGACGGGTATGTAAATTACCTATCAAAAACCCCATCAATACGCCACTAAAAAACGATTTTTATTTTTTGTAAATGAGATATTTAGTCTTTGGTCTGTTATCACAATGAAAATATGTATGCAAATGAATGTTCGATTGATGCTCTTCAATTTTTTATTTTTTTTTCATCTTCGCTATTGGTAAGGGAAATCTTTTCTTCCTCTCATTTACAGAGGGAAAAATACATTTTCCAATAGGTGGTGCACACAATATCCGTTCTAATTCAATTTTTCTATAACATTTTTTCAGAGTCTCTGTTTTGTATTATTATAAAACAACTTTTTGTTTAAATCCGGTCGGAGGCCGACAAATACGTCGAACGGTGTTTGATAAACGTAGTGCTTCTGTTCTTTGCCATGAAAAGTTATATTAATTTATTGCTTACTATTCACACCTTTACATTTAATCCTGTTTAACGGTAAATTCAAAAACCATTTCCGTAACTGTGTTGTTACAAAAATAGGTAAGTATAATATGTATTTTGTGTATTGTAGAAATCGATTTGTATTTTTAAAAGATTGGATTTTTTTTTTAACATTTTTAGGTAAGCTTAAACGAAACACTTTAATAAATGACAATATTTAATATATATACGAGACAAACTCATAATAAAATAAACAAGGTCACATTTTATTTTTATTTTAAAAAATGTGTCCATTAAATAAACGCTTGAATCTTATTATTTTGTATAATAATTTAGCTCTTCCAGCCATTACATAATGGGCTATTAAATATTAAACTGTTCTAAAAACAACAACGATAGCATATGCTAAAAAGATTTCGTATACAATTTAGTATGCGCATCGTCGACCTTTCGTATAAAATTGCGACACCCTTGAGCACTATAAAGTCGAAGCAATTCATTTCTCATTTCTTTTAACAACTAGGTAGTATCCGTTTTATGTTATACTTGTACGTAAAAATGTAACGTTATCCTCGCGTGTCAATGTGGTTGCCCGACGTTGTAATTGTTTGGCGTTCAGATGACTGTTTTTTATTCCCAAACAAAACCAGATCGATTTCAGTTTTTTACTTTTTATGGTCATTACGGTAGTCGGAAAAAATGGACAAATTTTCCAGGAATAAATAATGACCACTGCAGGTACAAAAGTGGCCACAAGATAATATGGCCCAACACAATAATTGTTTAAAAAAAAAGTTATTAAAATGAATGGACAGCAATTTAGCATACTTATTTTTTAGAATAGTAACATTCATTGAGATTAATAATCCCAAGTCATCAACATTTCGTAATTTATGATTTAGTAATGTTGCTTTACGTTTTATGAAAAATCGTATCTATACGTAGGTACCTATAGACGGTAGGTATACATATATTCATATACAGTAAAACTCGCTTAAGACGCTCTTTAAGGGACCAGCTCTCTAGAGCGTTTTAAGCGGGAAAGCGTCTTATGCGGGAATGAAATAGGGATATAGATGATATAGGGACCGACGGCAAATAGCGTCTTATGCGGGAAAGCGTCTTAAGCGGGTTTTACTGTATATAAATTTCAACATTTTATACCGTCGAGTTACAATATTATAGTAGCCTGTGCCTAGGTGAAATATTATCGTTATTATAAACGACTTACCTAATTGAAAACGTCGTGCCTTCTTACTCCGTAGAGACTTAAGCATGACAGTACGCACACTGTTGTATTTGTACACTGTTTCAAATGTTTAAATTTACCATGACTGAAATGATATTGTTGAATAAAAATAAATTATGTCTTGATGGTCACACAATAATATTATACACAATTCGACATAATTTTAAATTTGAAAATCGTTGGCGTTGTTTGTACAACGAGTTGTATTTAATTGTGAAGCAGTTTTAAAATCTAACATGAACTACCTATTAAAATGGTTTTGTTTATTTTGTTTTTCATTATTGGTCTCGTCATTTCAAAATAGATTTTACATAACACATATTAACATAAAATAAGACAACTCTTCTGTTTATAAATTTTACTGACCTATATATCAATATCAAATGTAGCTATAGTACCTATGTATAATCCAGGTTATTGGGTTATATTTATACGAATTATCGTTAATTATGACATTATTTCTAAAAATACCAAGGATAAGTGCTTTTTTACCAGAGATTGAAATCATCGATACAAGGAAAAAATAGTTAAAACTACACAAATCTTTTATAATTCAGAAATGTGCGATTCCATTAGGTGCACAATATGTCTTTTCTTCCCAGGGCAATTGAGTTATGGATAAATTATTCTTTGTACCTATGAAGTATGAACCATGAATAATTCAAAATATTAACTGGTAAAGTTACAGGTGACGCAATCAAATATTGTAATAAAACAGTATATTATTATATAATGATTATACAATTCATCTTATAAAAAATTAGGTACATATAAAATAACTATAAGATTCATCTGATATTCAGAAACAGTAAGTTAGTTACTATTAGTTACTCATAAAAAAGTATTATCGCTTTTATGTTAACCAACAAGGTTTGGATTTCTATACAGTTTTCAATGTATAGACGCTTGTTGAAACTCAGAACCTTCGCATATATGCAAAATTGCATAATAATATTTGGCGAACAATTTAATATTATACAAACAGGTATATAATATCTTGAACTAAATAATATACGATTCTGGTTAGAAAATAACGAAATAAAAAACCATTTTTTTAAATCACAATATTTATATATTTTTGTATAATATTATGATATATTAGATACACAATTATGAGTCCATGACGATTATAATATATAATCGCACATAGACGGAGATGAAGTAATTAGAAGAAAATATAGCATAATTATATAATATAATGTCATCGCCATCGACAACAAACCGCAATGACGAGATCATGATAACATATTATTATGTATATATTAAGGTAAACGGACAGAAGAGCGGTAGAAGAATACTAATATAATAACAAAACTATATAGTTGGCTGTTGAAAACCGCGCTTTAAACCATAGACATTATTATAATGTTTATGCTTTAAACATGTGGCGGATGATCATTTCAAGGAGTAGGTATATATATTGGGGTCCAGGAGCCGGGCCGGGGTGGTCACTGCAACGTGGTCACCGTCTTACTGGTATTTTGGTTCTGGAGTGCTTGGCAGAGAGGCGAGGTATCTGAGCGACTCTTGGATCTCAGCTGGGATTGGTGGTGGAGTGGGCAAATGAGCACCGTACGGCTGGTAACCGTTCTCGTCGGCGATGTATCCGATTTGGATGATCTGGCCGTCTGGGGCAGTGTAGGCCGAAGCTCCCTGGAACACAGCTACGGGTCCTTCTGGGCCAGGCTTCAAGTAAGAGACTGTTTCTTGTTTGATTCCGTTTTCGGTTTGGAAACTGCAACAAAAATAATATAATGTGGTTAGGAAGAAGCTGATAGATGTGAGTTTTTTCTAATTATTAAAATTATAATTATAATAAAAAGCTAAAACGAAAAACCGTATATTGAGATGGGTAATGACTCTAAGTATTCAAATTACGTGACGAACTCTTCAACGCAAATAGGTAAAAAAAAAATCAAACTGAACACTGCAAGTATAGTCGTAATTATTGCTGTCGCAAACGATTTCAAAATAATGATAATAATAATAATATACTGGACAAAATATCGTCTATTATTACCACCGAAAAGCGCTGATAATATAACTTAAAACTACAGACAGCAGCTACAATGTTGATCCGAAGATTTCGTTCAACAATATCCACGCCGGGGGATGAGGCTATACTTGATGAGATCGATAAGTGCGTATAAAAACGTCGTGAGACAAGCGAGCTTAAAAAATTCACCTCCATAGTTTTTAAGAAATTAATTTTGCATACTTGTTCTTCAATGATCCATCGGCGTTGGGTGCTGAATCTTGGACCAAGATGGCGGCTCTGGATTCCGGGTTCAGTGATGCGGGGTAGGCGCTGACGGCAACGACAGCCAACAGCAACGACGATACGGCAAAAGTGACCTGTGCAAAAGCGTGAAAAGTGTGAGCACGGTTATCTCGTCGGTATAACAAATAACAGTCCATTCTCGACACTTCGAGAGACTCTTACCTGCATGTTGAAGACTTTCTGTTTTTCGGTTGTGTCTGTCTGTGGTACTCGCTCTTCGGAGTGCGATGTGTTTGTGATTGTGATTGTGGATGCGTCTAGTATTTATATTCGCACGAGCGAGAGTGTGTGCGCGTATGAGTGAGTGTGAATCTTCACGCTGTACGGAGACATAAAATAAAAAACGGGGGATACCAGTTTTGTGTTTAGCATAATAACGGAGGCGGCGTCGTCCTGACGGAAAGGTCGCAGCCACATTATATTAATATTTAGGTATTATTATGTCAGCGCGTTACGAAAGCGGTCCGACAACATTTGTTTTGGCCGAACGCGAGGCGAGCAGAGGTTGCGGCCAAACAAGTTTTGTAGATCTTTGCTGGTTCGCCGAAATCGAAACCATAATCATTAATCATCTTCGGTACCGAGTCGTCTTAGACCAGTACACGATTCGTAGATTCGATATAACGATCCGTTCCTAAATTATTTATCCAAACAAATGATACTATAGGTAGTCACCGATCATCGAGTAGTATAATATTTTGCTGTGTACGTCGACGAAATAATATGCGTCTGAAATTATATTCAATATATTGTGTAAATGCCTGCCATTTTAATAAGTTGGATGACTTACAAAAAACGCAGTATTTTAAAAAAAAAATCCGCTACAAGGATACGCGAAACCGGTGTTGGGCAATCACGGTCTCCCTTCGCCGGTCTAAGCCGGTCGTTCCATTATGAACATAATATGTTTGTGTGGTAACTGAAAAAAATTTAGGATAAACGATTGCATTTGAAAAAAAACTCAAACACGTGTATAGTATGATAAATATTATTACCAGGGCCGTTAAATCGTGTAATTAATGTAATTCTTTGTTTCGTGAGCTTTGTTATCCCTCAACACTCGTAATAATACACACTACTATAATAGTCTAAACGTGGTATTACCTAAATTAAAAATCAAATAAATATTTTGTCATATTTTTTTCGGAATTGTATTATTTTTTATCATTAACTAGCTGCTCATTACCCGGCGTTGCCCGCGGATAAATTATATGGAGATGGACAATCCATCTCAGGCGACGGATAGTAATAATATAATAACGTTTTTGCTTACGTAAAACCAATAATATCGCAAGCAGAAATAAACTAATGATTTTATGATTTATGATTTCAATAGTGTGTAAGCCACTCTAAGATAACTGGTAGAATCTATTACTGTCTAAACCTTCCTCGAATCGTCAAGATCGGATAGGTATTTTTTGTTAGATCCTAAAGCCTCTGCTATACACTTTTCCTTTTATATAATATAATAGATGTTATTTGTGGCCTCTAAATTCTAATACACTTATGAGTAGAGCGAGGATTTCTATGCAATTGCATATTTTTGGATTTTCGTCAGTTATCTCCACGAATCATCATAATTTGAAACTAATGGTGAAATTTTTTTTGCATATTTAAATGTTATTGCATATTTTTGCATATTTTGGCAAAATTCAAATTATAATAAATTTTATAGGCACTGAATAATAATTTATATAAAGATAAAATAAATAATCGATTACGACGTAAACTTAATCGCTCTTGCTGTGTCAGTCGGTTAATACTAAAAAGTTTTAGTCATAAAAAAACTGGAAACTCAAAATATGACTTAACATCAACTTTACATACTTTTTTGCATATTTTCATTTTTTTTTATTTTTTACTGCATATTATATTATATTATATCATATTATATGAAAATATGCAAAAAGTATGCAATAAAAACCATATAATAATATATGGCATATTACAATACTTTTTAGTGCATAAAAAACCGCTGTCTACTTATAATTTACGACCCGAGAATCCGAATATTAGTTGGTGAGTACAATTTGTCAAAAACTGTGGCTGTGCATATGAGCCGTTTAGATAGATATAATCTGACTAATAATATACCTGTCTTAGCTATTATAATCAGTATATCGGCTCTGTTTTGATTTAATTGAAATATTCTGAATTATTTATTTGTTGAATTGGCTCCAGACTTTTGTTTTTTAAGATATAAACCTAGACCATACACTTTGTCTCAAATATAGGTATTTTAATATCTGCTACTCAATTTTACGTTTATATATAGCATATTTTTAAAAGCCTAAATGACGAAATATAATATAGTGCAAAAAATAATATGCAATCATAAATATCCATAATAACTTATGTAATCAATAATGTCAACCCTATGAATAAACACAACATTTTTCAATTTTTGTTAATCGAAGCAATAATATTCATGAGTGAGTAACCTAATAGCGACCATAAAATATAAGGGTTGAAATACGATGCTACAATCTCTTCTAGAGTTTCGGGAAATCTATTGATATAACTTTTATTGAAAACGGTCTATAAAAGGCAAAGAAAGAAACATTGATTTTTATAAATTATATGGATCAGAGTCTGCTGTGTTATAGCTATCATACCTTCGGGAACACGATCGCCGTGATCGGATATGCGATTATCAGCTTATTCACACATCAATAATTCGAGTTAACAATATATATTTTTAATTTATATGATATAGTTACCTATACATAGGTACCCGCTGTGTAGACGTTATCTAGGATACATGATTCTTTTAAAGGTATTCATATTATCAAAAAGTATTTAGAAAAATGTAAACACTTTTGCATAATTTATATCATTACAAAACAATATTTTTGAAAAAAATTACTGTTCACTATTTTATAACGATATACTTAAAATTGTAAAAATATACATTTTTTGAAAATAATATTTTGAATGACTGAATTAGATATGTAAAAAAATAAGTATATTTTCAAACGTTTATGTTTTTTTAGAGAAATTGAATTCCTTTAAAATAATTATCTTGTATACATATTATATTATCTGCATGTCATACTAAACTTGTTATAATTATGTTGGTGTGATAATTTTAATTAATTTTGGTAAAAACATGTCATTATATTTGTTAAGGATTTGCTTTGAAGTAGGTACAAAAATAATTCAATTTACTCAATTTTCTCCTTTTGGAACGTTCAATAAGGTCTAACAGCCATGGAATTTCTTCGATTCCTTTTACACGAGAATGCATTTAAAATATAATATAATATAATATATATTCTTTGATTTTCAGATATACCAATGGATAAAAATGGCCTTCCACTGGTTCCACAGCCACGGGTAAGTTTATAAGACAATACACTTTGTGTGTTTAAAAATTGTATTTATTTTTGGAAAATAATTATATCTTACATAAATATAATAATATAAAATGTGAAGTAAATCAAACATATAGCAGAACTACACTATGCAATTTAATTTCACAGAGGTAAAATACACATTTTAAGTAAATGTTTTATCATTCTAAAGTATTAAATAAATTATGTAACCTTGATTAGTGATCACATAATAATACAAGGTCCACACAATAGCTATATATAATGGACGATGGGTGTAACATCTTCGATATTTTTTTTTTGTTTATAGCATAACGTATTACATTATTATTAAGTGGCCGGTTTAGGTTTTGGTCTGCAATTTTTTATACATATACGTCTTATATACTTTTATCGATACATCTGCGAATCGGCAAATCGTTGCAATCGACGATAAATGTATTTATTATACGACAACCCCGCCTCCACGCCATAGCCTATACCATGGATTTAAGGCGGATTCGTATAATAGTACCTACCTACAACTACAGGTGTATCAATTAAAAACTACTTTCAAATGCAATTTCATAAATAATCATATATTATTCATTGCGACCGATCCTATCTTCTAACACTAATCCGATGATGTATATTATAATAGGCACCTTCAATGTTTAAATTTAAATAGATGCACAAAAAAAAAGTTGCATAATCAATAGCCACGAGTAATCTCATATTACAAAAAAATATTCGTTCACAAATACAATTCAAGTTTAATTTAAACGTATTTGTACGATAGTGCCGATCAATGCTTACAAATTAGCGTATTAAAAACGATTTTATTTTCATGAATAATTATCAAAAAACCGAAAATAATATTTTAATATGATTTTAAATTTAATAAGAGGGAAAGTAGGTAACTCTTCAGATGTACAGCAGTAGGCGACGAGTGTAATGTACTTCTTAAACTTGAATTAAACGATAAATATGAAAAACAATTCTGAGCTAAAACGGTCTGTCGGCCAATAATATTAAGTAGGTAAATTTTATGATATACGTCATATTATTGTAATTTATTTTACTATTATCTAGAATTAAGGTAGGTTGAATTAATTGTTGACGAAAACGTTACATTTTTATATTTTTAATTTTAGTTATTTAAATAATATAAGTACTATACATTTAAATCGCATAATATTGATATTTTAATGTTTGAGTTAATGCCGACTTATCGTAGAACGGTGTAAATACGTAGGTCCGTGATATAAATAGACGATGGACAATAGCATTATATTAATTTAAATATCTTGAAAATATAACTGTGTGAATAAAATATAATAATAAATGTTAAAAATTCTAAGTACTCACGAATTATATTTTTAAAATACAACAAAATAACTAAAATTGTAATTCTTCTTTTAAACATCTTTTAAACATCTATTTTGGATCAAATTTTAAATTAAAATGCCCATAAAAAATTTTGTTTATATAGTTTTTATATTATTGGTTCCATAATAAATTACTATTTATTAAGGAAGAACCTCTTTTTAAATTTCCAAGCCTTGGCTATAAAAATCAACATTTTATAAATGTTTAACTAGTTATACAAAATAATTTGAAAATTTATTCCAAATGCTTTTAAAAAAAATCATGAGAACCTACCTAAGTATCTTTAATATATTTAAATAGGTATAATAATTCATGGGAAACTTTCTATTGCATGTTTAACCTTTTTAGCCAATCGAAATATTCTTTATCGATATTTATAGAAAAAAACTAATATAAATCGAAAATGTAAAATGTCTATAAATAGCTCAAAAAGTAAAAACATTTTGAAAATTATACAAAGTAAAAAATGCTAATATAAACATTTGGTGAAAATTTCAAGTATCTATATTACTATAATATATATATATTAATATTTATATTATGTTTTTTAATTACAACAAAATTAATAAAATAGATGATACCTAATAAAGGTCTTGCTTAAAAATTCCCGTTTTCCCCTAAGTGTTTTTTCCGATTACATTGTTGATTGCTGGGAATTTTTTATTTTGACCTTCCAAAAGCACTAACTTCACTTTCCTACAGAAAATCTATTCAAGCTGAATTATCAAATAATATTTTCTATTATAATTGAACACACGAGACATAAATACTTCACAAATAAAAACATCATTGAGAAATCAATACGTTCCGTTCATAAACAAAATATCTACTACAAACAAATAGAAATGTATTCAAGTTTATTTCATATTGGTAGCTAAACCATTTAAATCATTTGAAGTTTATTTCAAAGTCATATATTTTATAAATCAGAAGCAAGCATAAAAAAAAAGTTTCTATAATTTCACTCAGATTTACGCTTTATAAACAATGTTTTTTATACGCTAAATAAAATTAAATTCCGCCCTATAGTAATTATATGATAACAATCTGTGGAAGTTTGTCGTTGTTTGAATAATTGAACCAATTACTTTATTACACCAGTGCGATAATATGTTCTTAATAAAAATTAACTTTAAGCAATTCGATTCATTGTCTAGACAAAACAAAGACTATTTCAACTTTTAATTCAGTAAGATAATTAATTTAATAATTATTTTTTCTTTGTAACAAAATTCAATAATGTATAAAATATTTTGTACGACGTTATTTTCAGACGGTGAATTTGTTTTATTAGAAAATATTTGAAAGGAAATTTGTTAGGTATGCAAGTAACTTTATTAAACCAAAGTTTTGTTGTTTCGTACATTTTTATAATTTATTATTTCCATTAAATTATTTAAATCTCTTATGATTTCTACAAAACAACAACCTTAAAATGAATATTTTATAGAAAATAATGTAAATATTATAGTAAAGTAAGTAAAAGATTCGTTTGAACTTCAAAAAAATACATCAAATATTAAATTATTTTAATAATATGCTTACATTTACCTCATACACCTACGCATAGTACCTATATATTATCATTATATAATCTGATTGTTCTGAGAACGACCAGACTTGTGATAGTTGTTCTGTAATTTTAGTTTTTCGAACTTCAAAATATTTAAAGATTAATCAACTATTTAAAATATTTAGTATCTTATTGACTGGATATAGTGGATGGTTATTGACTGTCTGTAATAATGTGAACATTGAATAAAATAGCGATAATAATTTATAAAAAATAATACCCAGGTATCCAAGAAACATATTTTCTATAACAAAGTATATATATACGTTTAGTTTTCATTCAAACAATATGTTACAACGATTATCTCAATTTGCATTCTGATAAAATAAACCATTGAAGCACATTTTAATAATATAATATTTAGTTTATTAAATATTTAAGTTAAAAATGTAAATAATTGTTGAATGTGTTAAATGGTCCGCTGTCGACTTTGATGTATTCACTTTAAAAACATTAGCTCTCTATTATGCAAATGAATATTTCTTGATTCTTGAATGTATATAAATATTCGTTATTTGATTACCCCCCATCACAATATTGAGAACTGATTATAATATTATGATATTTTAAAGATACCTTTATTCTTCAGTTTATAATTATATTTAACTATAAAGTTAGGTTAACTATAAGCATCAGTATACAACTTGAAAAAATACTAACAAGTAATATTATGTTAAGAATAGTATACATCAACATAAAATAGAATCACGTTACTGTAAAATAAAGAAAATATGACGTTTTATTTAACCAATGTTGTAGTTATGAGTCCTCCTCCCAGAGCTATTAGATTCTGATCGGAACGATGAATTTATTACATTAAAATGAAGTGTTTTTAAATTTATTTTTTTGTTTGTTCCTTGTGTTCTTTTATATAGATTTCACTATTTTTACAATCTTCAACCTTGAGGATAGTTTCTGAACGAAAATTAAATTAAACATTTTTTTAATATTTTGATTCGTTTTGAGCTACCTATTTATAAAAATTTTTAATTTTTTTTTTTTTGATAAATATATATAACAATTTTTTGTTGAGTCAACAAGCTTGGCAATTTAATACAAGGTTTTTCATAAGTTTTTATACTAACTATTGAAAAATATTAAAGATACAATATTATATTGGCACGGATTTTTTTCATAAGCATTTAAATTTGAACTATCAAAATCATGGTTTACAAAACTAACTTCTTAAATATCCTTAAAATATGATTATTTTCAAAAACCCTTCTTAATGTGTTTATTTTTTAAATTCTGAGTGGAACGATGAATGTATTGATTTTACAATGATATGTGTTTTTTTTTATTTTTTTATTTTAAACTGAATGTTTATATTAGCATTTCCTATACATCATACAATTTTAAAAATATTTTGACTCTTTTTGAGCTGTTAACGGACATTTTCAGTTTTCAATTATTTTAGTTTTTTTTTCTATAAATATCAATAAAGTTTTATCGATTGGGCAAAAAAGTGTGAAAATGTAATACAAGGCTCCTGACATATTGTTACAATATCAGTTGAAAAATATTAAAAATACATAGGCACAATTTTTTTTTATAAAAAAGAAGATCGCATTTTGACAAAATTTATCAAATTTAAAATTAAATAATTATTTTGTAGTTAAAATTTATAAAATATTTAAATTTTATATCTAAGGATTGAAAATTTAAAACAAGATTCCACGTAAGTAGTTAATTCTGTTACCAAAAAATCTAAAAATATACAAGCACAGTTTATTTTTATAGTCATTTTAAGTTCAAATTTGGACGAAATTACATAATTAAAAACCTAGAATATTTTTTTATTTTTTTTATTTTTTTTTTTATTAATTATCCCGCGGCAACATAGACCATTGGGAGGGGGGTGGTACTGCAGGTTTTGGAACGGTAGGTGTGATACACGTGAGTGTATTTTTGGCAGAATTTCGAATGGGGCACCCGTAGGTTTCTGCCATGCCCCGGAGTGGGGGATGGTGGCACTTGTTCTCCGGACACCGTGACTTGCCCGGAGAAAATGCCGCCCGGTGGTCGAGAATCGAAACCGCGACCGGCAGCGCAGCAGCCGACGCGTTAGACCGCTCGGCCACCTCATCCCCTTTAGTTATTTTGTTGTGAGTGTATAATATTATTCGTGGGTACTTGAAACTTCTAAAGTACACTATTATAATATATCTATGGACTATAAACTATGATAGTATCAGGGTTTGTTGTTGACGTATAACTCATTATAAGTACCTGATGGCTGATGGATATTGTGATATGATTAATTTGGAATTTATTATAGGTAAATTTTTTTTAATACGATAGATAAGTATATAGTATGTCTTATACCTAGACTGATATACCGTCTCCGCTCAGAATCGTTTTTCTTATACAATGATATTATATCATTGAATTCAAATTTAATACTATCCATTATACAGTGATCCACTTGTAACCTACTGTACAGCAGAACACCTTTTTTTTATTTGCATACAGTATTGCTGAAACACTATGAATATAATATATTATAATAAAAGTAGGTAGGTAGCAGTACCAGTATTAGTAATCACTAATCAATCTATAATCCAAACAAGTGTATTTAGATAGCCATTTTAAAACATAATTAACTAGCTGGCATACACAAATGCATTTTTATAATAATTAGAAATTAGTATTCAAAATCCCAATTAAACAACGATTGTTTCTCAAATAAAACCATTCTTTAATTACATCTTTTGAACCCCTTGCTTTAGAAATATTTTAAAGTTTTAATTATTGTGCATAATCAGTTATCACTAAACACTCACTAAAATACACGATCTTTCAAATATGTTATAATTAATGTTGAATAATTGTAATATTAACTATATAATATAGTTAACATTGATAGTCATCTAAAGTAAATACTAAGTATGCTCTTCTATCAATAATGAAAAATTATTATAACTTAAAAATTAGAATTTGTAATACTTCCATTTTTTTTAATCATGAAGTGAGGAATTCTTTTTAGTTATTTTTATTATATTTAAAATAAATATATTGACTATAATATACTATATTAATAGTAATACCTACCATTAATAGTAGTATTGTTATTGTAATATTTAACTCTGTTATTATTATTAGTACATTGGCAATATAATTTCCCTATTATAACTCCATAATAATATCTTAATAATATCCAAATAATATCCAACTTTTATGATGTGTAAGTTTACTATAGTATTAAGTTGGTTATTTGTATACTATTCATAGTGAAACATATTAACAGTATACAAATATTGAATTATATTAATGAACGCCATATTTTATGAAGCGATAATGGCCAAAAATATAATGATCAACTAAAAAAATATAAAATATAAAATGTATTATACTAATTTGATATATTTTTTACAGTCTATTGATCAGGATGTTCAGGAGTTGGAGAAACTGAAAGCTCCAACTGGTAACTTATGAAATTGAAATAGTTTGACGATAAAATCTTTAACCAATTTACCTTTTTGTTAGGAGCTCTGCCAGAATCAATTTCAATGACGAAAACACACGAATCTTCGTACATGAATGACAACGGCAAAGAGATAACTGATGCTAAAATAAAACAACAACGTTAGTAATATCACAGATAACATAGATTACTTGATATTGATTATATTCTATTTTATGTATATAATGCACAACATGAAAGGGAAAAATGTATGGTTACAACTGTTACAAGATTTTAAGTTTGATGTTTTTGATATTGCTTTAATATTGCTTTCGTTTTCGCAAAATAAAAATTTATTCGCCCTCTATACACACCCATATAATATTAATATTTAATATATAATAAATAGGAAGAAATTAATAAAATACTTTCCCGAAATCGATGCGTCTGTGGTACATGCATAAGATACACTTTAAAGGTTGTATATACATTCTTCATAAATGTAAGGAAATATTTACGATTCCTATGGGTATACGGATTCTGCGAACGGATAACTACACGTTGAATAACGAGTTTAGTATACACGCATTGTTATAATAGGATATGTTCGTAGTAGACACACATTTTTTGTGGTCTTAGAAATTAAACTGTATACCTATATCAATTTGCAAAAGGAAATGAAAAACGGTTCATAAGATAGGTACAACAATAGTATGACATAATGCGTGTTCCGTAAATGTACATTATAATATAATGGTACCTACCGAAATTATTGTAAACATAAATAAATAATATACATATATCTATATATATGAATATAGTTTTTTATATATCTAAGGCTACCACGGTGCGCCAGGTTACATTTAAGTATAATTTTTATTTTTTTGAGGGCGACTACTTGTATGATAGCGTGACTCGCCCCCATTTTTTCTTTTATAATGAATGTACTCAAATTTTAATTTTTGGAATTCTTAAATAAACTCAAATACCTTGTTTTCAAATTATTTTTTTGTACTGCTTAAGGAGTGTCTTATGATGGTACAAAATTGTGTTTTATCAAATGAGTACCCTTCCTTTTTACTGAAAATGATTTAATGAATACTTTTTCTGAAAATGATGTGATATCTATAAAAAAATTATCCACCAAATAATATTTTACGATAAAAAAGGGGGGTTGTCATTTAAAAAACAGAATTTTGTATCACCTCAAGACACTTATCCTTCAGTAGTACAAAAAAAATCGCATGGATTTAAAAATAGGTCTGAAATTATACTTAAAAGTTCCAAGAATCCGATTTTTAAGAACTGTGTAATCGAAAAAAAATGGAGGCGATCCCCCTTGGTGAATCAGCATGTATACATTTATAGCTGTTAAGAAGGATAAATATTTGAAAATTACAAACGGATTGTATTATATACACAGCGTGGTGTACACCATAGACTGTATTGACACGAGTTTTGTCGTTCGATTTAGTAATAAAAAACGGCGAGCTGATGGCCAAACTGGAGCAAAAAATGTCGTCGAAAAACGAGCACAACGCTGGCGGTCGGCCCGATACGAAAGTACAGTTGTCGGTGGACATACCGAGCAAGGGCATACACAAACAGACGATGTACGCGTCGGACGGCGAACCGCCGCGAAAACGGGACGGCAAATACAGAGAATACGACAAAAAAAACTACGTAAGAGTCGTGAGAACTGTATATTTCAGTTATTTACCCAGTGTAGTTATGCCCATTCCCAAGTCCCCTTCTACACTTCTATAATAATTTACACACATGAAATTGTCAGCCAAAAATGAGCAAACTATATAGACGTTTGAGGATAATTGCAGGCAGTGAGGACCCTTCGTTGGCAGTTCAATAACTACAGGAATATGCCTTATGATGTTACATAATTTTTAATTTTTAAATGCTTAGTAAGACATATTATTAACATATTTCCAAAGGTTGCCCCTCCCGTTTATGTTAATGTAATTAATCAAATAAAAAAATAATGATATAATATAGTCTTGTATGGAACACGTGCTATAACTACTTCATGCTTTAGTGATAGAACGATCGCCTATATCGTATAAGGTCCCGTTTCCAAGCGTCGTGTTGTAAATAATATTTCTTTGGGTACACTTTTGAAGGACACGCAGTTCCCTCCACCAGTGTCGTCTTACTTCAACGTGGAAGCGACACCCGAGGATATGGCGGAATACATTTTCTTCACAAAGGACTTCAAGTCGGTGACGCAAGCAATCGAGAAATTAATCCAGGATGGAAGGGTCAGTACAACAGATATTGCTATTTTATACGTTTAGTAATATAGTATGTTTTTTTTCTAATGAGTTTCAATAGTAAATTAATGATGATAACACGGCGTCATGGATAGGCTATTTAGGTACACCACTGTCGCGTGTCCGTTTCCCGATAATTTATAATAAACTGATATGGTTTGTTAAAAATGTAAAATAATATACAAAGTACTATACAACTGAAAACGTATACCTACGTAAGGTTATAATATTAATGTAGATATAGCATATATTGAGGTTCTGTGAATAGTTGCTAGTATATTAATTTTTAATGTTAGGCTTTGTTAATTTTTTCAAGGAAACGTTTTATTTATTTAAATAGTTAGCAATTACATAAATAACACAACAAATGTATCTTGAATTTAATATCGTATTTAAAAGTATTAAAAAAACAATATATTAAGGGTAGCAGAAAGATGGTTCTACATTGGCATATCCACAATGTGGTCGGCTTCTTTAATTAGTGGTGCATATAGGTAATGAGAAAGGATCCGTTTGGTTTAGAAGAAACAGTAATACAAGATTTTACTTACTTATTAAACCCAAGTTAACTAGAACTCTTCTGTCACCTAGAGAGAAAAATTTTAGAAATAATAGGAAAATAATCATGCGGAGAGTGACTTATTTTTAATAAATGCCCAGAAAAATACAGGAATCTACACTGTAAATGCTCAACAAGATAACTAGTAACTACTATGAATTATAACACAATATGTTAATTACCACAATACAGATGCATATTATTTAACAGAGCGTGCTAGGGTACATAACCTATTACAAAAACTTATTATTCGCAACTATAATAATGTATACTAAGCATAAACACGTCTAACATAACCTTGAAGTTTTGGTGCCTTACAACAAAATGCTTCTATATTATTTGAATAGAAAGTAAGTTTGGTATCAAAAACAATGGCTACGTCATTAACCATGTTTCCTGCACGGTGCACGTGTTTCCGTGTTCTACTGATTTCATCATGATCAAAAATAATAGGAGAATGGGATCAGAAGATTGACATAGAATTTCATTTACGAACATAGACTCATGTAAAAATCATAACTCATAATACTATCGTTTCTATATTGAAAATAAAAAATTTAAAACAAAAATTTGCACTTACTTCCTATACCTTACGGTTAACTAACAAGTCTTTTTTTTTATTGAACAAAAATTTATTTACAATCTGTATTTACATGTAGTACAATGAGTAAATATGATGAGGGTTAATTAGCGGGATGGAGAAGTCACCCAATGGTGGCACCCCGATCTAACAAGTTATTCATTTATTATTGTTATTAAAATCAATACGAATTTTTTAACATAGCACCATTATGTTTAACATATATTGTAGGAGAATAAATAACGTAAAACAAACAAAATTGTTTTACAATTAAATGTTCTGCATGGAGACCAACAATTTAAATTACAATATATTAACGTCACTAGACCGTTTTTTCTCTTGGAAATATTAAATTTATGTATATTTTAATCGAGACAATAAATTAAATAAACCTTAAAATAACCGTCTATAATTTAATTGTTTAGTCAACGTGACATTAAAACTCCATCGAATTCGGTAATTTAGTTACCTATATTTCCAGTACAGTAACGTCTAGTTGAATTCGATCGATAGAATTTGTATAAAAACTTTTTTCAAATATAATTGTATAGCTACTCAGCCAGAATAATTCTGTTTTAAGAAGTCTGAAATAAAAGAGAACCTGTCTATTGGTTTTAAAGTCATTTTGATTTTAAGGGTTAACACTATTCACTATTTCGAGTAGTGAAACCCTCAAAAAGTTACAAGTAACATGTTTAAACAAATATAATACAAAGAACGAACAAATATAATGTACATTTTAATACTATTTTCCACTTAAATAGGTAATCCAAAGCTCTCACGAAATCGTAAGATTCAATGGTAATATTAAAATTTCTTTAAAAATAATAACACTCTTAATACCTACTGTTCTGTCTTTTAAAAAATTTGTTTGCAAAAATGTATTAGCATGCCGCTTTTGAAGTGAATTATAATTAAAGAAATGAGACGATATTCTTATTGGAGTGCCAAGAGACTAGAAATATTTCAGCTATCATAATAATAATTTATTTAAAAGTTTGATATTAAGTGATGCGGTTTGCGGTTGTACTAATTCCGTCACAGTTAATCGATAAGGGCGAAAAGCGCTTCATTGAACATACTGTTACATTGGAGTTAATTTATGCATAAAGACGAAATACACAGTTAAATGAATTCAATAATTAAAAGCATTATAATATAATATAATGTAATTATTGTTAGTTCGTCTGGTGAGTTTTGAACAGACCGAAACCTCTCAACAACGATAGACAATACAATCATTATTTTCTATCAAAAGAATAATTGTATTTACTGTACCGTATCGCGTGTGATGATGATGCATTAATAATCATTAATTAATTATAAGTAAATTAATAAATCGACCATAAGTCGATAGTGAGTTATTCATTCATTAAACAATGTCATATCTATAAAAAGAATAAGAGACAAACGAACTTCTCGCTGTTGAAAATGTCGCCGTAAAATAATATTATATTATATGGCTTCGAGGAAAAAAGAACTTATATACATAGTACATGTACGACCTCGAGCGTAATAATACACTGTGTTCCATTCATTTCTCGTGAATAGGACGATGAAACATTGCCAGTGCCCAGTGGAAGTAAAAACTTTAATAATATCGCTTTTGTATACGAGCGAAAAAAAAAATATATACTTTCGTGAAATCGTGTACATGGGTAGTTATATATACTACCTACGTTTTTTTCTCCTCATAATCGAATTCGGCAGCAGTTTGTTCCGAGACTTTATGTACACTTTAGGTAGGTACACAATAACACCCACACACCCAATCAAACTGTATTGTGTTTTTAATTTTAATGAAAAATATAGGTATTATGTACGTATAGAATGTCGCAAACCGTATAAATATTTTAACAGTACTACTACAGTAAAACTAATAATTTATACACTTTCATTTTAATTTTCCAGACCGATCGACGCAATTTTTTAATGCCACAAAATTGTTCGTTGTATAAGTACACAATTATTATTTAAGAATACGATTTTATACCTGAACTTATGAATCACATTTCATGGCACTTCGATTCACATAAATTTGAATATAAATTTCCAAAGTTATGGCCTGGTTGCAGACTTGGTGTAGTATTCGAAATACTTTTAGAATATTGTTTCGCAAAAATAAATATATATAATACTGTATTCTGAACTGCATTTTTGAAAGTATTTCAAATACTTTTATAGTATATTAAAATTAAATTTTTTATTCTAATATTTATTGTAAGTAATTATGATATTTACTGTTATGTTTTAAATCATAAATAATCACAGTAAGTTATATTACGTTGTACTAATATAATATATTTTAACATTGGTTATAATTTCAAATTTTTCCAAAGACAAGTGTAATTTTTTTAAATATCTAAAACAAACAATATGGTAAAAAAGTATTTGGAACACTTTTATAGTATTTTAAATATTTTATTCGGGTAACTTATTTTTATGAAGTATTCGAGTATTTATTCCAAATACTTTTTAACAGTATTTTACTACCTACGGTCTACCCAGACCAAGTCTACGGGAGTCACTCATAGCGACTTTGCAGGTTATGTTTGAGGTTCATAAATATGGCTGGAAATTGGATAACAAAGCACAGATATACAAATGCATTGATACTTGTCCACAAACCGTCCACCTAAGCATAATATATTCACAATATGTAAATATAAATGTTGTGAACGGTTATTTTATTTTTAAAACTAAGAGTAACCTATGTGCGATATAATTATGCATCTATGCAGAATGTAAACTTTTATAAAACATTTGCAATAATACAACAATAAAATATTTTAACTACAATTGTATTTTATCGCATTTACCGTATTTTGATACCATCAGCTGATATTTAAGCGATTTACATGATAACCTAACACAACCTAGGTTATACACTGAATAAACATTCTACGTGGATGTGATAACTCATAATGTTTATTTTAATTACTATAATAATGAGTAGGTAATGTTTATATATATTTTTTCTGCTTTTCAGCTTTCACTATACCTATCACATTGCACTACGACTCGCCTTAAACTTAGGTACCTATATATCAGATCTGACCTCGACTCAAAATATTATACGATTGCATAATACTATTTTGATGAGTTCGTCTGATGGTATATAAGAATCGTAAAAATACGACAAGCTTCAGATGATCATCATCATCGGTGGAGGGGGGGGGGGTATAAGGGATTGTTTTTCACGTCAACGTCAAGCCTAATACCCCGTGAGTAATATATAAAGTCCCGGAGTTTGACAGTGGGTTTTTTGTCAATTATTTATTTATTGTTTCCATTTACCCCCGTACATTCAAAATAATATCATGATGACGCGCATTCTGGTTTAAATTTTTTTTGTCGATTTCCGTTCGTGGCGTTTTCTAAACGTGGTATTACGTCATTCGCTATTCGTATGCGAAATAAATAAAAGTAGGTACGCCATTCGTTTTCACACCAAAAAAAGTGTCAGCCACGTCGTGCCAATACTGACGAAGGTTTCTCCGAAAAAGACAATTTAAAATCGGTACAACTACGCGATACATTCGTATTATTATTTATACAGTAAGTATAGGGTATACAGTATACACTATATAATATTATATATTATGTCACACACACAGAAATGCAGCGTACAATATTACCAAAGCTGGTCACTGTAACATGTTAGAAAGTTAAAGTTAAGTTAGATAGTTCCTTTTAAAGTGTAATTTTCTAACTTAACGAATTTAATTCCAAGTGTAGAATTTTAATAATCCAAACTAACGCTTTAAAAACAAATAGTAACTACCTAGTTATTTTTTCTGTAAAAGTTATTGCAATGTTCCGTAAAATTACCTTGTGCCGACTAGATAA